AGATTCTCTTATAGTGAGCATAAAAGATTAAGAAGTACACTGATAATAAGATATCCACTAATATTTATCCACTAATGAATAATTTACGGCGCTAATATTGAAATTTTTATTTATTCGAAATAAACCGAGTAGCTGATTTTTGTTGTCGCCAAAATTCTTGTCGATTCTTTAAGAACGATATTCCTTCTTCTGCATACTTCAATATGTTTTGAGTAGATTGTTGATGAGCAGTCTTAATATCTGAAATTAAGAATAAGATTTTCATATTAATTATAATAATATTTTAAATGACAATATTTTAAAATTTATTCCGGCGAAATTACATTAAGGTTATTATTGACAAAAAATTAACATCCTTCAAAAATATCAAATGCACGATGCATATCTTTGTTAAGTTTATTAAAAGTAGCACTTATATTATCCTCCCCATCTTTTATAGGATCCATGAATTTCATAATGCTTAATCGATATGACATTTCCGACATAATGTTTTGAATAGTTTCCCATATTACTTCTTTGTTATTCTTCTTAGTTATTTGTATAGTTTTTTTCGCAAGATCGTAAAGTGTGATGATATTTTTTAACATTCCAAAAGTCTTATAGAAAGGACAATACCGATCATATGCAGAGTAGTTATTTTGCTGAAGAAAATCGTCTTTTAAAATTTTAGATATTTCCAATACTACTTTATCTAATTCAGATAAAGAAGTTGTACCAACAAGCTGTACTATTTCCGATAACTCTGTTTCTTCTTGAAGTATTTTGACCATTTTTGTTCTCAATTCAGTTACGCCGTAAAAATGTGTATCACAAAAACTGTCAAAACTTTTAACATACTTGCTGTAACTATTAATCCAATTAACAGCCGGAAAATGCTTTCTTTGCGCAAGATTTTTATCAAGAGCCCAAAATACTTGAGTAACGCTCAGAGTAGCTCTAGTTACGGGATCTGAAAAATCTCCACTAGGAGGTGATACTACTCCAAAAATACTTATTGAGCCCTCTCGTTGTGGATTTCCCAGACATACAACTTTTCCCGCTCGTTCATAAAAACTTGCTATTTTCGTACCCAAATAAGCAGGATAACCAGAATCGGCTGGTATATCCCCAAGCCTCCCACTTATCTCTCTAAGAGCTTCCGCCCATCTCGAAGTTGAATCAGCCATCATAGAAACATTATAACCCATATCTCTAAAATATTCGCATATGGTGATTCCAGTATAAATAGACGCTTCTCTCGCAGCAACTGGCATATTGGAAACATTCGCAATCAAAACTGTTCGTTTCATAATAGATTCAGTAATCCCATTAACTTCAACTGAAAGTTTTGGAAATTCTTGAAGAAGCTCTGACATTTCATTTCCTCGCTCACCACAACCAACGTAAATAATTATATCAGAATTGGAATACTTGGATATAGACTGAGATATTATCGTTTTACCACAGCCAAATCCTCCTAGGATTGCAGTCGTACCGCCTTGTACTAGAGGAAAAAGAACATCAAGAACTCTTTGTCCAGTTAATAACGGATGACGAGCCGAGAGAGTTGTACGAACTGATCGTGGAGTTCTCACTGGCCAAAGTTGAACCATTGAGTACTTACAGACTTCATTGTTAAATTCTACCTCAAGAATAACTTCATCTACAGAATAGTTGCCAGGTGGAGCAATATAGGTTACTCGTCCATGACCATTTGGAGGAATCATTAATTTATGTTGAACCAAATTATTTTCGTAAATAATACCATACATATCACCACCAGTCACACTAGCTCCAGACATTATATTAGTAGGATTGAATTCCCATACCATTGATCTATTAATTGGAGATACATTGATATTTTTTGGAATATATATTTTTTCAGAAATTTCAGCAATATCTTTCAAAGGTCGTTGAATTCCATCAAATATGCTACTCAAAATTCCAGGAGCAAGTTCAATTGAAAGAGGCTTACCGGTCTTCATAACTAGATC